TTTTTAGCTGAGCCATCCTGCTACCTATTGGCAGCTTAGCGGCTGCTCAGCTCGGGCTGGCCTTGAACCGCTGTTGCTCAGAGCTCAAACTCTTGAGCGAGCTCTTAACCAACTGAGCCATTCGGCCGGCCCTCAGGCCATGCCTCCTTGATCCTTAGTAAGTTGTACCCACCTTAGCCGCACAGCGCTTGACCTACTCAGTTCAATATGCTAGCTGCGAGCTAGCTGCTAAAACAGTATGAAAATTCAGTTGTGTCAAAGTTAATTTTATACATTGATTAAGATTTGGCAGCACCTGTGAAGGTCTGGAAGCAGTCGATGTCGTTCCTCCAGGAGACCGTGGCCTTGGCCTTGATGGGCGCTGCCTTTGCTAATTCCCTCTGTTTACACATGTGAATAACACAGGTCTCTGGCTGTCCATTTTCTGTAACATAGTTTGCAATTGCATTGATTGCAATTAGGAATGGGACCTGTATAGAGGAATGATGCTGTGACTCAGTGACAGGCAACTCAGACCGCTCCTAGACGGGAATTTTGTGCTGTATGTCTTGTTTCTGTTACCAGCAGACGTGGCAGGTGCCGTCTATCACTAATATATCCAGACCTCCCTTTCCGTCTTTTAAAAAACAAAACAGAATGTTGAATCTTGCCAGCTATTGTTTTTTTGAATCCTCGTGTTTACTTTGTTCTGTTTTCTCAGTCCCCAGAGTTAGAGCTTTTTATGTTGTTTGTTTTTGTTTTGTTTTTAATAATTAGCTATATTTCTGTTTTGTTTTTACTGAGCTACTTAAAACTAATTCAAAGCTAGTATTTCATCTCCCATTTTGGGGATAGTTGGGAGATTAGAAACTCAGCAAGGCCCTGTTTGGGGAGTAAATAGAGATAGAATGCAATGATAACTTATTTCAATTAAGCTAGTTTTGAAAGTCACAATGCCGCTGTGAACTCTAGGTACCAGACTTGATCTGTGGCTATTATGGAGCCTTGGAGAGGAGTTATGTCCTGGGCGCAGTGGGGTCTGACTGCAGGTACTCATTCCTACACCAGGCTAAGCCCACCAGCAGAATTCTTTTTGCCACTAAAATCACACAGGACCTCTCAGAGTTTCGCAGTGTAATCTTCATGCGCTGTACAGGGTTGTATATACAAAGCCATGTAAAGTATTTCATGCAGTTTACTTCCAAGATTAGTTTTGACCATATGTGTTAATTGTTTCTTTGCATGCTGATGTTTGAATTGAATTCATTCTGGGTAATACGTCACACTCACTGAGCACATGAGTGGGTGCGGTGCTGCTGGGTGCCCTGTTACATTGTACAAGGTGGTGCTGCGGTCCCGCTGCATGCCGGACCCCCAGGAGCCGTGGGGACTGAAGCTGAGATGGCTCGCTGCCAGCCCCGCCTGAGGGAGGATGCCCAGGCCTTATCTGCTTGGGGACAGATGGAGCCGGGCATTCAGGGAAACCTACAGGGCGGAGGAGGACTTGGGCGGTGCCTCCTAGAAGCCGGGAAGTGTTGGCGAGTTTGGAGCCCAGGGCTAATGTGCCTTGACTGAACTGCTAAGAGGATCCCTCTGGCTGCTGCCCTGAGACGAGCCAGGATGGGGTGAGGTTGGGAGATGGAGGGGCAGAGGCAGCCCCAGAGAAAACAGGCAAGGAGCAAGTCGGTCACCCAGGAGGTAGGTGACTATGAGAGTGTTTCCAGGGTGCAGCTGGCAGGACTGGATGCGGGTGGAGAAAAGGGGAGGAGTCGTCAAGGAAGGTACCCAGGTGTTCGGCCTGAGTAACTGCCAGGACGGACTTTTCACTTACTGCGGGAGAGGGTCTCGGGAAAGAACAGTTTGTGGGCGGGCATGAATAAAGATCTGAATGTGAGATGCCTCTGAGAGAGCTAAGTGGAGTTTTGAAAAGGCAGTTGGAAATGTGTATGTCTGAGGGCGATGGGGCTGGGAGGCTTCGGGGAGGAGGTTAAATAATGGACCATTTGCTTGTTGAGCTATCTTGCCCAGAGCGTGCAGTCTCACACGTTTGGGGGCCAAGTAGGACGCTAAATGAGCAAGGCAGTTGGGAGAGGCAAGGCCTGCGGCGAACTGCAAAGCACAGCCCGCCCAGGACAGGGCGTACAGGCCCGCGCGCACCCTTGTCGCCCAGGGCTGGAACGCAAACCCAGGCCTGTGGTGCCCCAGACCCAAGCACGTTCCACTCGGCCGTTTCCTCTGCGAAGTAAGAGTTATCAGAATACACATGTCGTGAGGGCAGGGACCTCGTGTCCGTGTGCCCTGCCTGACACGTTGGGGTGCTCCTGGCCATTTGTTGAGTGAGTGAGTGAATGAGTAATAAACCGGTGAATGGTGATCAGCGTTTGGAAGACTGCGAACTGAACACATCCTGAAACCCGCCGGTCACCGTGGGTGCTTCACCAGTTTTCAAGTTTAGAGTGCTGTAACTTGAATTTTAGAGTGTTCTTGTGGTTTACAGAGCATTTTGACATGTTTTTTTGATACTGGGAGGTAAGTGGGTATTATCCTTTTTATATTTAGGAAAAGCATTTCTTGAATTAAGTGGTAGAATGTTAGCATTTTTTTTATCACCTACTGCGTGTTCTCACTAAAATGTAAGTATAATATATTGTGTTTCCTAATACCATAGGCTCTCAATGGTCTTGAATGCCCTTGCGGATATGGTATAGTATTAAAATATGATTGTTCAGATTACCTAATAGTCCATGTTATAATTGGGAAAGTTAATAAAATTTCTCAGTAACAGCTCCAAATAAACAGTTTGGAGTACCTGCCAGGGTCCGATGGCAGCTTGGGGTGCCCCTTTCTGCTTCCCAGTTTGCTGTTATAACCCAGGGCTCTAATGATTAAAAAAAAAGTACACGCATGTAGGATGCTGCGGTAGTCAGGAAGACAGACAGACGCCTGGTGGGTAGAGCGCGCCTTTGTGCCAGGGTTAAGGAGTAGGGGCGTCATTTCTTTGCCACTTGTATAAGGGAGCAAATGTGCAGACCTCTAAGCTGCATTAGCACCCAGAACAAGTGAATTTTACAGTTTGTGGTGGTGACTTCCAAGAGAAAACTCCAGAAGAAACGTCTGGTCCCTGGGCTGTCTGATGGCTCTCTGTAGACTGTTAAGTGGCCAGCGGGGTCAGACACGGTGGAACAGGCCATCCCAAGAGGCTCGTGTCCTGCACTGGAGACTGGCACAGGCTTAGAAACATAGTGACATAGGCTTGCTGTACAGAGCAGCGCCCAGCAGCCTGTCAGCTGACACTGGTGTTAGGTTCATGATCGGGAGGAAGTGGGATAAAGCGGCCGTCCTCGTCCCCCCTTGAGCACTATGGTAAGCAGGGTCTTCGTGGTGGAGTTCTGTGGTCGCAGCGGTGGTTACGGCTGCTGGCTGCCATGGTTTAGGAGTGTGTTTAAGGAAAGAACAGCTCTCTCTGGCCCGTTTCCCTGCCTCCCTCTGTGCTGGCTCCCTACTAAAAGCCGTGTGATTTGGTGTGGACAGAATGTAACTCAGTGTTTACAATTAACTGTTTTCCTTGTAATCTGTTTCTTGCTGCTCAAACTATGTAACAGCCGGATTTCTTGTTTAGAATATCTGTAATACTTGTGCTGAGTCATTTTGAGTTAAGTGAATGGGGTAAAGGTCTATTTTTAGCCCCAAGGCCCATGACGGAGAAGGGTGAGCAGTCATGCGCATCTGTTCGGCCGGTGCCCACCTAGAGAGGATCATTCTGTTGTCAGGGCTTCCCGCCAGGGTCTTAGGAAATACATTCCCTTTTTCTGTATGTTGTCAAAGACTTCCCTTCTGTGAGACACAGAGAATTTTCAAAGTTTAAAAGTTGACGTTAAGTGAGAGATTATTTGCTTATGCCTGTTTCCAACACTGGTTTTCCTTTAAAGGTTGACTCTTACTCTTATCCCCCCAATTTCAGACTCTTCCATGCCTTCTCCTTAAAGTTCACCCTATTTTTGTAGAGAGGCCAATACCCTGCTCATGACCCTTACAAGAAAACGAAGCTGTCACAGCTACTCACAGGGGTGGCCTGTGTCCTCTGTCCTTTGCTGCTTATTGCGGTCATGAGTGTTTATTTTAGAAAAGAAAAAAGTCACCTTGTGCCCTCTCTACCATGAGCTCTGAGAGGGCCAGGGTGAGCTTTTGGTGGGTTTTCTTTGGATTGGGTTTGGTATGGGACCTCGCTGACATCGATCACACTTGTGATGGTGGCTGACCTGGAGCCGTCTGATGGGCACTTAGGTCTTAGGCTGCCGGTGAGCAAGATGCACCCTGGGAAGACGGAAGCCACTCTGGGAGGTGCATTAGAGCTTTCAGTTTATCAGTAAGTGCCATTGCATGTACTGTATCAGTAAAACATGTATACGAAATTGGAACTACAAACCGATAATTTTTAAACTCATGTAGTCATTTAAATGTCGATAATATATTTAATTTGGATATGGAAAATGTGTTTGTTTATAAAATCTTTATATTAAAACAAAAGTATATATTGGGTTGTCAGAAAAGTCATAACGTATTTCTTCTATGTTTTTCGTTGCAAAAATGTGTCTTTTTCGACAACCCAATAGAACCTGCTTTTTCTCTACCTGGCGGTGAACTAATATGCATGTTGTTCCCACGCAGAGCTCTGGCATTGAGACGTTAGTGGAGGAGCTGTGCTCCCGACTGAAGGACCTTCAGAGCAAGCAAGGTGAGGAAGGCGCCATTAAGGGGCTGTTGCACACGGGTTGTCGTCCCCAGCGAATGACTGAGGGGCGCTCAGAGCTGATCAGAGCAAGAAGAGCGACACGAGTGAAGTCTGTGTTCAGTGCGTGTAGCCAGGCCAGCGTCATGCCACATCCTCGGCTGTCACTCCTCCTGGGTGAGCCCTTAGCGGTCACCTGTAGAGAGATCCCTGCTGTCAGAGGAGTGGGTTCGTCCACAGGTGTCCTGGTAGAGAGGAGTCATTTCATTTGTGTGCCTTCACATCGAAGCTCCGAGATCGGGAGCAGTGTTTTCTCTTTCCCAGCCTTGTGCCCCTGTTAATGTCTGCCTGTTGACAGCGAGGCCTCCAATGGTGCCGACACTCATTATTTCAGGGTTGGTAGGCACTTCTGCCTCGACTCTCAAATTTTTTGGAAGGGCAGGCTTGGCAGGCTCATGAAGTCATTTTGACTTGTGACCGCTCATAGCTCCTTTTCCCGACTTTTCTGTGAGCTCTTAGAATGGAAAGCTACATACTAAGAGTAAGGACCTCTGTGTTCCTTGTTCTCTCTGTGGCCATTTTGTTGCCAAGCCTTGGGCCTTCCTACTAAGGACGCAGTTTGTTGGTTTGTGTTTAATCTGAGGCAGTATCATGAGCTAGAGTAAAGGTATAGAGAGTGAGCCCCTTCTATTTTAGTTGAAACACAGCCTTTGGTCACCTCGATGTTAAGTAACAGAGCTGATTGTAATGAGAAATTTTCTTTGCAGATTAGCAGTAGTCAGAATGAGTCGACATAAAAATCCTTGCGTGCAGAATATTTTTGGAATCTAAACAGATGTTCTCCTGCTGGTGTAATTAATAAGCATCCAGGGGATTTCAGCCTCTCGATTAAGTGCCCCTGGAGCGTGATATCAGTGATGAGATGAACAAGCCTCACCTTCTAGCCCAGCGTGCCCGTGGTTTAGCCAGAGAAGTCCCTCGAGCACACTGAAGGAATAGATTTTTACTAAAAAGAGAAACTGCTGTAGAGTCCTTTTAAGTCACAGAAGCCTGTATAATTTGTATTAAAGTCACTTGAGAAACTTAAAAAGACAACTCTTTCTGAATTTTTGTTTCATAACAGAAGAGAAGATTCACAAAAAGTTAGAGGGGTCCCCCTCTCCAGAAGCAGAATTATCCCCGACAGCAAAGGATCAAGTGGAAATGTATGTAAGCCTATTCAGTGATAAAGTGTGCATTTATGAGAGTCAGACTAATAACTGCTGCGTGATTCACAGTGTGTGTTCATTGTCTTGTATTTACTTTCATATTGTATAACTCAGGAAACATTTATTGAGAACTTACTTGTGCTGACACTAATTCAAAGGTGAATAAGATGGTTTTAGCCTTAACATACATATTGAATCAATATTTGTACAACGAATGAATGAAACAAGGTTATTACTTGCAGTCCGCTCATGTACTATCACCTTTGAAATTTCACACCTGTCCTTGGAGACAGCTGTAAGAAATTATGCCTGTCCTTGTTCTACACACAAGGAAACCACGTTCCCACTGCTGGTTCCACAGGGAACATGGGCAAGTCATGGGCCTCGTCAGCCCTGTTTGCTAAAGATGCTTTCGGTTCTTTCTTTGTCAATGCTTAGTATTAAAATCAGCAGCATTATAAGCAGACCTCCTTATTACCTTTTATTTGAATCTTCTGAACTCCTGAAACTTAAGGAAAAAATAGCATTTAAGTGGTGTGTGTAGACCTGCCCTGTGCAGCTTGGTAGCCATAGCCTTGTGTGGCTGTTGAGCACTTGAAATGTGGCTACCTCAAACTGAGATGTGCTGTGTGCAAAATTCTCATCAGATTTCAGACTTGGTATAAAAAAGAGTAACATATTTCATTAATATCTCAATATTAATCACATGTTGAACTGTTACTGTGGTTATGTTTGGTTAAGTAAAATATATTATTGACATTCATTTCACCTGTTTCTTCTTATGCTTTAATGTGACTCCTAGAACATTACAACTTACATGTGAGGCTCAGAACACATTTCCGTTAGCTCTGGTACAGACCGAAAGGGCGATTCAAGTGCAGCCCCTTTGCAAGCGTGGCCTGTTATCACGTCATGCGTGACCATGGCTCTTGGCCTGCAAAATGATAGTCCCCTTGGTCGCCAACCTGACCCCCGGCGCGTCCTTTGGCAGTCTGTCTTGCTCTGCAGTCTTCAGTGGCTACCAGTTTCCTAGCAAACTGAAAACTCTTAATCCTTGTTGCAAGCCCTCTGAAATCAGCCTCCCTGACTTTTCCTGCTCTGCATTTCCAGTGTCGCTGGTCTGCCCGCGCTCGGTTCCGGGAGCGCATGTGTCCTCATACAGGTTCCCGCAGCTCCCAGTGCTCACTCAGCTGCGTTTCTGGAACCTCGAGGCTCAGTTGTGGTCCCCTTTTTCTCACTGTTCTAGACCTAACTAGCACCCTCTTTTCTGAACACTGGATACCATAATCCCTACTAATTCTGAGGGTCTGCTTAATGCCCGGCATTGCGCCAGCCTCCTGAGAAAAGACAGCAGGACCGACAGTAATCACTGAAGGAGGTGCTGTTCTGACTCATTTTGCATATTAACTCCTTTAGTCCTCACAACTCTGTGAGGTAGGTATTGTGAGCCACAGAGAGGTTAAGTAACACCTGAGGTCACACAGCTAGGAAGTGATAGTCAGGATTTGAACTCAGGAAGTGTGGCTTCAGAGTTCATATTCTCAACTACTTCCTCACAGCTTTTCAACTACATCTACTGCCAATGTTCACAAAGTCTTGTGAGGTAAATCATATTACCACCATTTGACAGTTGAGAAAAATATGGACCAACACATTAAATGATTAGCTTAAAGTCTCAAGCATAGTAAGTGACTCAGCTGAGAATCAAATTCAAATTATCAAAAGCTTACATTCTCTCCACTACATTGTACTTGTCACTGTGGCATTTAATTAAAATTCAGACTTTGAAGATAAAAAAACTGTCATCTTACATATTTTCTTAATATTCTTAGAGTGCTTATCTTAGTGCTTGATACGTTGGACTACATATAAAGGATATTTTGCTGTGTTACTAATTAGTTAAAAGTTAAAAAATTAGTTAATAAAAAAAGTTAAATAAAAAAGTTAATAAAAAAAAGTGCATGGGTGATGTAAACGTTGACTATGAAAAGGGACTATCCCCCTTTTGTGCTCGGTGACATTGTTTTGCTGTATCTGCCACATCTCACTGTCCACTTTTGACGCCTTCACCCTGTTTTTCAGGTACTACGAAGCATTCCCGCCCCTTTCGGAGAAACCAGTTTGCCTGCAGGAGACCATGACCGTGTGGAACAAGTCCAAAGCCTGTTCTTACTCCAGCTCGTCGTCGTCATCCACAGCGCCCCCCGCGAGCACAGACACATCCTCCCCCAAGGACTGCAACAGCGAAGGCGAGGTCGGCAAGGAGCGAAGTGGCGACATGTCCACCACCACACACGAGAAAGCCCAGAGTAGAAGTCACAAAGAGAAGGAGAGCAAATTCAGCAACGGCACAAGTGAAGAAAAGCCTGCCCTGTACAAAAAGCAAATCCGACACAAAGCCGAAGGGAAGGTTCGCCCTCGCTCCTGGTCCTCTGGCTCCAGTGAAGCAGGCTCCAGCTCAAGCGGCAATCAGGGGGAGTCAAAGGCACCCCTGAAGTGTGTGCAGGCGAGACACAAGACACGCGAAATCCGGAACAGGAAGGGGCGGAACGGGCAGAGCAGGCTTTCACTGAAGCATGGCGAAAGGGCCGAGCGCCACGCTCACGCCGGGAGCAGCAGCAGCGGCAGCAGCAGTTCTGTCGGTCAGCTGTGCAAGCGGGGTAAGCGCCCATTCAAGGAGATGGGAAGGAAGGAGGCTGGGCGCACTGAGGGGAGAGACCTGTACCCGGAGAGCAGGGCCGACACAGAGTACAAAGAGGAGCCGCTGTGGTACACCGAGCCCATCACTGAGTATTTCGTTCCTCTGAGCAGGAAAAGCAAGCTGGAGACCACGTACCGAAACAGACAAGACGCACGCGACCTGACGGCAGGGGCGGTGGAGGAATTGTCTGATTCCGTGCATGGTCTTTGTATCAGCAACAATAATATTCATAAAACATACCTCGCAGCAGGTACTTTCATTGATGGTCATTTTGTAGAAATGCCTGCGGTTATCAATGAGGGGCTTGACCTTACTGGGACCTCACTCTGTTCTCTCCCGGAGGACAACAGCTACTTGGATGATATTCATCTGTCAGAATTAACCCACTTCTATGAAGTGGATATTGATCAATCCATGTTGGATCCTGGTGCCTCAGAAACGATGCAAGGAGAAAGTCGGATTTTGAATATGATTCGACAAAAAAGCAAAGAGCAAACGGATTTTGAGGCAGAATGTTGCATAGTGTTAGATGGGGTGGAGTTGCAAGGGGAACGTGCAATGTGGACGGAGTCTCCCAGCTCCGTGGGCGCCGAGGGCTTGTTCCTCCAGGGCCTCGGCAGCCTGGCTCAGTTCTGGGAGTGCTGTTCGTCCAGCTCTGGCGATGCCGATGGGGAGAGCTTTGGGGGAGATTCTCCGAGCCGACTCTCGCCCCTCCTAGACAGCACGGCGCTCAACCCGCATTTGCTCGCTGGCAATCAAGAGCTCTTTTCAGATATTAATGAAGGATCTGGTATAAACTCTTGTTTTTCAGTGTTTGAAGTGCAATGCAGTAATTCTGTTTTACCATTTTCTTTTGAAACACTCAGCTTGGGAAATGAAAATACAGATTCTAGTGCTAACGTGCTTGGGAAAACACAGTCTAGATTGCTAATATGGACCAAAAATAGTGCCTTTGAAGAAAATGAACACTGTTCTAATCTTTCAACAAGAACTTGTAGCCCGTGGTCCCATTCAGAAGAAACGCGTTCGGATAACGAGACATTAAGTATTCAGTTTGAAGAACCCACGCAGTTTAATGCAGAAGATATTAATTATGTAGTTCCTAGAGTCTCGTCAAATTATGTAGATGAAGAACTTCTAGATTTTTTGCAAGATGAAACTTGCCAGCAAAACAGTAGAACTTTAGGAGAAATTCCTGCGTTAGTTTTCAAAAAAAAATCTAAACTAGAATCTGTCTGTGGTATTCCGCTTGAACAAAAAACAGAAAACAAAACCTTTGAAACTACACAAGCGTGTCGTGAAAGCAGCCCGCACGGAGATGGCTACAGCTCAGGGGTTATTAAAGACATTTGGACAAAGATGGCAGATGGAAATTCTGTAGTGATGGGAGACGTAGAAAGAGTCGATGATGAGTTGTTTTCACCAGATGTAAATAACTACTGCTGCTGTCTGGATGCCGAAGCGCAAATGGAGCCCCTCCAGGAGCCCAGCAAGGCAGTGCAGAGGTCAGAGTATCATCTGTGGGAGGGGCGTAAGGAGAACCTGGAGAAACGGGCTTTTGTTTCCGGTGAGCCCTCAAAGGTGGACGGTGGTGATTATACTACACCCTCTAAGCCTTGGGATGTGGCCCAGGAGAAGGAGAACGCCTTCATTCTTGGAGGTGTTTACGGAGAACTCAAGAGCTTCAGTAGCGATGGGGAATGGGCCGTTGTCCCGCCCAGTCACACAAAAGGAAGTTTGTTACAGTGTGCGGCTTCTGACGTGGTGACGATAGCTGGGACAGATGTCTTCATGACCCCAGGAAACAGCTTTGCCCCTGGTCACAGGCAGTTATGGAAACCCTTTGTGTCATTTGAACAGAATGACCAGCCGAAGAGTGGGGAAAATGGGTTAAATAAGGGATTTTCTTTTATCTTCCATGAAGACTTATTAGGAGCGTGTGGTAACTTTCAAGTTGAAGACCCTGGGCTTGAATATTCATTCTCTTCCTTTGACTTACGCAATCCATTTTCCCAAGTTCTTCACGTAGAATGTTCATTTGAACCCGAAGGGATTGCATCCTTCAGCCCTAGTTTTAAACCGAAATCGATCCTCTGCTCTGATTCAGACAGTGAAGTTTTTCACCCCAGGATATGTGGCGTTGACAGGACACAGTACAGGGCGATTCGGATCTCTCCTAGGACTCACTTTCGCCCAATTTCTGCCTCTGAACTGTCCCCAGGAGGAGGAAGCGAGTCGGAGTTCGAGTCTGAGAAAGATGAAGCAAATATTCCCATTCCTTCTCAAGTCGACGCATTTGAAGATCCACAGGCAGATCTCAAACCACTGGAAGAAGATGCCGAGAAAGAAGGCCATTACTATGGAAAATCAGAGCTGGAGTCTGGAAAGTTCCTTCCCAGGTTAAAAAAATCCGGGATGGAGAAGAGCGCTCAGACATCCCTGGATTCCCAGGAGGAGTCCGCTGGGCTTCTGCCAGGTGGAAAGCAGGATCAGTGTTTGGAATGTAGCATGAGCCAGTCTCTGGAAATCAATTTAGAAAGCTCAGAAGCAAATTGTAAAATAATGGCACAATGTGAGGAAGAAATTAATAATTTTTGCAGTTGCAAAGCAGGTTGTCAGTTCCCTGCTTATGAAGATAATCCAGTCTCTTCGGGTCAGCTGGAGGAGGTATGTGTCTGTGCGTGTCGGTATTTGATAAAAGGATTCGATCAGACTTTAATCCAAGGCACTGGAAGGCAGGGTTCAATTATTGGGAAATGAGCTGAACTGTCTTAAAATGTATCATTGTTGTGATTTTACATAAGGACTTAAAATGAATTTGGTATTTACAAACTTGAACTAGACAGTAGACATTATCTGCAGAGAAAAGACATGTTTTAAATGAGTCACAGGATATGAGCTTATATGTTGTCTTAATGTGCATATACTATGCTTAAAGCAAAACCTGATATATAAGTGGTCCAGCTTTCACAGGAAGTGGCTGTTTACTTTCAAAAGGGCCTTTGCTTTTCAGAAGGAGCAGCACAGGGTTTCTTTACGTAGAAAGTTCATCTGACTGCCTCTGAAACATTGATCAGCTTATTAAAATTTATGTTTTACATGTGAAATAAATTACACCTGTATGGAGTTCTCGAAAATGTATTGTGGTACATGTAAAAATTAGCCCACAATCCATAACCCACAATCTGTAGAAATGTAACTCAGTTTATACAATGTACATACTCCTGACGCTGTAGGTATAACATGTTAAGTCTGTCAGATGAGATCAGTAGTAACAGTTTTCATAACAGGAGTCATTGTACCCTTTGACTATTCCTAAGAAGTGGTTTGAGGTTAAATTGACTGTACAAGAAATAACAGGTAAGACAACCTGTTTCACAAAAAAAGCATAGTGATCTGCCCACTTTTCAGCCATGATTTGATATAGCAGTGCCCGGCCTTTTTCCAGGAACAGCTTATTGAAAAGACAGTTGGAGGTGGTGGTGAGAGGTTGCCCTTCCCCCGTCCGTCCTCTGCACACTCCAGCCACCTTTGGCACGTCTAGCTCCCACCCACCCATGCCGTGAGGCTCCTCAGAGCCCATCTCCTTCACTGACACTTGCCCTAAGTCCCCTCCTCTCCCCTACGCCAACCCCTCCTGCATCGGATGTACTTTCTCCCTTCTCTTAGTTCTCATGCACTGCATGCCTCTTTTTTTACTGCATTTTCCAATTTTCATGAGTCATTTCTGCACTTTTTCTTGTTAGATTATAAGCTCCTTATGGATGCGGACCATGCCTTCCTCATTGGTCGGGTCAGGGTCTAGGTGTGGACCTGAGTGCATGTGATGGTAGGAAGTCCCACAGGCGACGAGCCACTGCTCTGATTAGCTTGCCCGGAAGTCGTCCTCAGAGACGCATGAATTGAATCTCATTGAAACACTGACATCTGAACTTGCTGAGAAAAGACAACGTTGCTAGCCTTTATCTGTTTGTTTATTACCCCGCTTTCATCCTTAAATATTCCTTTATGTACTTTGTATCTCACCTGGTTCCAGATTGGGAAGAAAGAAAAAGAGGAAAGAAGCGAGAGTCTGCATCATACCACTACCATGTTCCTTCACTTCCTAGTATGTTGATGTACTTATGTGTTACCAGAATTCCGGGTTGTGGAAGGTTTCAGCTGCTGAGAAAGTCCTCAGAGGACGTTGTGGGGTTTCTTCTAATCGTCTAGCTGTTGTCAGCGCCCTCCGCCCTGGCCTCATCGCCACAGCTTAGAGCCAGGCCGGAGCTCGCTTCTGGAGTCATCTGAGGCATGGCAGGGTTGAGAGAGTGGCCTGAAGGGACAGTTTGGGGCCAGGCCAGGCCCGCAGTCTGCCTTTCCACTCTCTCACATGCCTGGTCAGTCTTGGGGAGCCCCTACAGGGTGTCCCCCCCTTCCTGAGGGCAGTGTGGTAACCCCGCTTGAAAAGTCACTAGTTGCCCACCTGTCTCAGAGCTAGTGGACTCAAATGTTGGATTTCTAATAGAATTGGTACCAAGGCGCATGAATTAAAATTCTTTTCAAAAGTTTAAGATAGCTCAATTCGGCAAACATTGATCGAATACCTGTTATGTGCCCATCACCAAATTAGGTGCCCTGGATGAAGGAATTCAGTCTTGTCACAAAGACCAGTTTGTACACATCATTTATTTTAATGGAAATGGGTAATTTATTCACACAGTTCAAATTCAGACGTTACAAGAGGGAATATACACAGCAGCGACCCAGCAGTGACCACGAGTGTGAGGCTGATGTCTCCTCCCAGGATATTTTGTGCAAATATAAGCAAATTTATGTTCACATATATTTCCTCCTATTTTTTCTTTTTGCTGAAGTGACACGTTATTATAATCACCTTTCTTTTTTCATTTTCTGCACACTATTCCATTGTATGAATGTACCATGATTTTCCCAGCTAGTTCCTTATCTTTCAGGGCATTTGGGCAACCGTCACTTTAGGTAGCATGGCAGGTGCCGTGGTGGAGGTAAGCACAGGATGAGCCCTCCCCACCTGTGACCCAGCAGGGTAGAGGGTAGAGGAAGGCTTTTTGAGGGTCCAGGGACAGAAAGGAGAAGGCAGGGGACTCGGCAGAAGGAACAGCATAAGCAAAGGTAAAGAGGCTTGAAACTTCCTACATGTGCAGGCAGCTGCCAACATGGCGTCTGAAGCATCAGATGGAAGGTGAAGAGTAGCACAGTGTGCTGCAGGTGTCCATTTGTGCATCAGCGTATGGCGACAGTGTTCTCTTCGTCCTTTATTTGAGTGCCAACTTAGTGCCAGGCACTTTGAACCACAGCAGAGAAGCAGAAGGTGTAGTCTCGCCTACTGGACTTCACCATCCAGGAGAGGAGGCCGATTTGCCTGGCAGACAATGTGCCATGGAAGTCAGACGGCTTCAAGAAGTAGAGGGGGTGGGAGCCACCCTGGGGCTGTGCTACCCAGCCCACCTGTGCCGGGCACTGTGCCCGCTGCTTTGTCACCATGATCCTACTGAATGCCCACGGTGACCTTGTGCAGGGATTTCCCCCAGGACTGCTAAGGACACTCTAAGGACACTCGGCCCAGAGGGGTGGAGCACCTGCCCCTGAGCCAGGCCAAGGGCAGAAGCCCAAGTCCTTCCCACCACTTTGCACTTCCTGTCAGTAAAGGGAAACTGAAGACAGGCTGCTAGGGTCCTTTGCTGCTCTCTGCTGCTCTCTGTGTTTCTTTCTTTTTTCCCAAAGAACAAAGCTTACGGAAGGCTTTCTTTTCCTTTTGTGACCCAAATAACTGACAACTGACTGTGGCAAAGGGACCCTCCCTCTTAAGTGCACTGTTGGCAGAGCAGCACCCACAGAGGGACTCCGAGTGCCTCTCTTCACCAGGACTAAGGTGTTGAGTGAGAAGCGAAAACCCGAACGTTCCGTCTGTTGCTTAAACTACTTCTCATCAGGCTTTCTGGACTAAGTTTATGTCTTCTGTTTTTTTTCCACTGCTTCATTCACCCATCAAATATTTATTAAGAGCCTACTATATCCGGGCGCTGTCTAAAAGCAGGGCATAAGGAACAGACAGAGCTCTTGCGTTTGTGGAGTTAGCAAACACGAAGTGACGTGGTGTGTTAGGGCGCAGTGCGGTGGGAGGAAGGCGAGAGCTGCACAGGGCTGTGGGGGACGGGCGTGCGTGGAGGAGTTGGCCGTGATAAACGTGGCGTCGGGCAGGCTTCCTGTCAAGGTGCAGCTTGAGGAGAGGCTCGCAGGAGAGAGAGCCAAGAAGCTGTCTGGGGGGGAGAGGGGGCACAGGGCGGAGGCGTGCCTGCCTCCTTCAAGGTTGGGTTCTGTTGTGTTTTCTTTTTCCTCCATTCTTCCTTCATTCTTTTTCGTTGTCAACAAAACCAGAAGTTGAATTAATACATTAAACAGACATTATTTAAGCAAAGCATAGTCATCTTTACTGTGCAACCTAAAAGTTGGAATAGCTAAGTGGAAAGATGTCACGGAGTGACGCATCTTCATATGGCGAAGGCAGTATAATCAGTAACACCGTAATAACCTCGGACAGTGTCAGATGGGCTAAGCTTCGTGACCACTTCTTGAGGTCTACAGGTGTTGAGTAACTATGGTGTACACCTGAAACTAATAATATTGTATACAAACTATATTTTAATCAAGAAACCAGGAGACAAAGCGGCATAAAAAAATAATACATATTTGTTGAGTATGTGTTCAGTGTAGTATAAAACAGGACAGAAAGTCCCTGTGATTGGAATTGACACTCCAGTGGAGGATGCAGAAAAAAATATTTGAAACTGGCAGAAACTGGCATGATCTTAACAGTGGTTTCAGCAGGAGAGAGAAAAACATGGTGTGCTTGGTCCCGGGAACTTGAGGCCGGGTGGCATCTTTGCTTTAGGTCAGCAGACATGGAATGTCTGCTCTGTGCCAGGCCCTGTGTCTGGAGGTGCAGACGGAAAGAAGCCATGGTCCCTGGCCATACGAAGCTTCCAGTCCGCTTCCACTCCTATCTCGCTTCCTCTCGGTTCAAGCTGGCCCAGCCCCTCCCGCCTGCTTTCCTGACCGACCCTGCCCTGCCTCCTGTAATGAAGCCCCTGTCCTTACCCTACCCGTTCCCACAGCCTCAAAGACAAGCAGTACAGCTGCACTCACCCCAGTAAAACCCCAATCACTCTTTCCAGAGCCTGCAGGACCCTTTCTCCCCAGATAGGAGCTTGCTGCCCCCAAATCCTCTCATTCATCGTGCCTTGGGGATGGTGGAGTGAGCTGTGCAGGGAGCCTTCCTTGCTCCTGAATAGCACTAAGTAATCTGGCAGAAGAGGTGTGGTGAGGAGGAGGCCTTTCTAGAAAGGTCATAGGGTGCTGTGAGTTCATCACCTTGAGGTGCAATTAATCCCCTTGAATTAACTGCAGACCTTGCTTATTGCTGGCCTCATTTGCATTCGGGCTGGTTTGTCAGCTCTGTTGGCTTCCGTTGGCTCCTGTTTATCTAATGGCAACACTAACTTTTGTTGTTGGAGGAAGCTGCAGGAGAAAGTAGTGACGGCTAACTGACCACTCAGGGGAGACAGGATGACTCTCCTTCAGTTCCTGATCTAGGAGTATTTCTGAAAGTGAAAATGAAAGTTTGAAGTGTGTTTCCCATTCAGTTAAATAATAAAAACACACATTGTTGAATGTAAAAGTTTTAGACCCACTAAATAATTTACATTTCAGAGAATAACAAAATTCTGTTAGAGAGCTGATGATCATTAGTTGCTAAAACGGGTCAGAGTTTAGACTTGAACACATAATGAAATACCATCTAAAACAATACAGATGTGTGCAGTGTTTATCGGCCTGTCCATTGAGTAGACCACCTATCGAGAGTGTTGGGGCTGTGGGAGACCCTGAGGGAGCCCACTGAAGCAGGATCGTGGGAGAGGGTTGTCCTGACCACCAGCATACCAGGATGCACGTGGTGACCACTGCTGGCCACACTCACAAAGACACGCCTATCACTAACGACAGCTGCTGTCTGGTGACCACTGGCCACATCCCATCCAGGCCTCACTGCACTGGCGGGTGGGTGGGATCCGGCCAGGACTTGCGAGCTTCACTAGTACAGGATGGAGCCTGGATTCAAACTGGGATCCCCCTTCTGGGCCTGGGTGCCTCCCGCTCTGCCGGGGCTATGGAGCTGCAGAGAGTGTGGGTCTCCTGCTCTCAGGGGTCCTCCCCTCCTCTCGTTTTGATGGCTGTGTCCTGTTTGGAACCTGAATTACTCACTGCTTCATTTGGTTCTCACTGAGGCAGGTAATTCTGTTCTAAAGACATTTAGGTTGGTAAGGCTGCCTATAAAATTTCCTTCTGTCGCATTTCTTCTCCTTTGACTCCCTCCTGTCCTGGTATGTGAAGAAGAGGGGCCTCCCTGTTTCTCAAGAACATCTCCCACCAGCAGAGACACAGGACCGCCCCTTATCTCCCCACACTCCCGAAAATGAGACATTTGCCTTACTTGAGGGTGTTTCCTGTTATATGTTTTTGGATTTTTGCCTTGTAAGAGTTTTGTTGTGTTTTTTAAGAAGATTTTCATTCCACTTCCAATATGTGCTTCTTAAGAAAAATTTCCTTTATATGCTATGAACACTTTGGCTTTTTAAAATTTTATTCACCTTGTCTAGAACAGTAAACTCATCACTTTAAAAATCCTAGGTTTATTAACTAGTCCCTAGTTAATGCATGAATTTTTCTTTTATCCTGAAAGTTTGTAAACTTTTTCTGTGTTTGGTTTAATCTAAATAGTTTCCTGTATTGGATACTGATGTACAAGGAATGACTAGAAGTCAAGAAAAACAGACCTGGTGGGAAAAAGCTTTGTACTCTCCTCTTTTTCCTGCATCAGAGTGTGAAGGTAAGGGGACCTGCAGTAGGTCCTTCATTCAGATTTCTAATTCAGTAAGAGCAATACATTCTTTTGCTATGACTGTTAGTCCAAAAACCACTTACCAAGAAGTTTCTGTGTGGCCAGCATTTGTCAGGCACTGGGGACACAGAGATTAAGGAGAGCGAGACTGCTCGGAAACAGCCACAGCCTGCTGTGGGGACGACGTGGAGACAGCTCTGATGAGATCTGTGCCAGCTCCCAGCGGATTGTGGGCGCGGAAGTGATCCGCTCTTTACTTCAGTGAGGCCCCCACGCGGGGACGCTGGGGAGGGGCCGTCCCATGCACAGAGGCAAGAGCGCCTGTGGCAGGTGAAGGGGACCGTGGCCCGTAGGGCCCAGCTGGGCTACAGTTGAGGCGAGAAAGGCAGACCGGGAGGGAGCTTGTCGGGAGGTTCAGGAGCTCTGCTAAGTTAGGTAGAGCTTAATGCACAGGAAGGGAAGGCCACTTAAAGGATTTCAACTTGGAAGGTGTCAGGCCTGTTTTAAAACAAGTCTAGCCACAGAGTGGAGATGGAACAGAAAAACGGAGGGGCACCTGCAGGCGTTGTTAGGCCCTCGCCGTGAGTGGTCTGGGGGTGATAGGACCAGGGCCTGCACTGAGGCACAAGCAGGGGTGGGTTGGAGAGAACAGCCCCAGGAGATTTTGTGGAGGATGCCAGAGAGTTCCATGGATAACTTTCTGTGAGAAGTAAACAGCAAGAGGGGAAAAAACCAGCCAGGGGGAGCTAGGGAAGTCTGGGCAGAGAGGGAGAAGGGAGTGGGGGCAGATTTGGTGAAGACGCTTTTAGTCTGTGAGCCTCCCAAGGTGCGCACTCCCGGGAACTAGAAAACATCTTGATCTGAAATTTGGGGAGACGTGAGAACTAAGTGGGGAGACCACCTAAATGCATCAGCCCGGAGGATGAGCTTGTCTGGGCTGCTGCGGTCTCCTGGGCTTCTGTTGGCCGCAGGGTTTATTTAACAGCCTCTCCTGTCAGAGGCCTGAGGGGCAGGAAAACCCTTCGTTAGTATTCCGTGTCCACCTACCTACCTGTCTGTCGCATCTCCCCAGCTAACTTGTAGCTAATGTGGAGCCAGTGCCGCCCCTCACTGCCCACGCTGCCTCGCTCGCCCCCTGCAGGTGCTCAGAGCACCTGCACTGCCGGCCTTCGCTGCCTGGCCTCGCTGGCTGCCTGCTTCTCTGTTCTGTGCGCACAGAAGCAGCTTCTCAAACCCAGCCGTCTCCTTCCCAAAGGTTGGCAGGGTCATAAGCAATGCACAGAGTGGTCTTCGTTTTTAGCAGCTTGGATATCTAACAGCATTTACTAAAGGCCTGTTGCTCCACCATTAGCTAATATCTGGGTTGGCCTTTATTTTTTACAAGGTGCTCGCAATAGCTTTTCTTTTATGTAACTCTCACGAAAGCCTCGTGTGTGTCACCCTGGTTTGCAGGCGGGAAGCTAAATCTCAGGTTTAGCCGTTTGCCCAGAATCGTACATTAGCCGTTAGGCTCAGGCCGCAGTCCAGCCTACCTTCTTCTGGTTCAGAAGCTTTGCTCAACGCAGCAGCTGTCACGCTTGGTGCCCAGGGGGCCACGAGGTGACAGGAGCACAAACCTGCCTTGACTTGTCTGGTCTGGTTCACGGGTGAATGTTAAGTCACAGAGGCAGGTCACAGGAATACAGGTGGGAAGGGCCAGAGCCCAGAGCAGTGCAGCGGGGACCTCACAGGAAGAGCCAGGAGGTGGGGAGAGGGCTGCGGCAGCAGGCGGGCCGGGGTTGAGAAGGACCAGTGCCTGTGAGGCTGCGCATGATTTTCAAGCACACAGAGGTCTTGCTTTGTTAGCACATCCCGGACTGTCTTGGCGGCCTCTGTTCAGCTTTCTATTGTTAGTTAGGAATCCAGTCCTAGCTCTTAGCTCTAGGTGCTTGGTATCTATACAGTCCCTTGGCAGGCGCTGTAAATGCTTGTTAGCACGTCATGCTGTTTTACTATGGAGTGACATGTAGGATAACAAATGGTAAGCAGGCTTACCCTGGAGCGGCATGAGGAAGCCTCGTTCTTTCCTCTTACAGGAGGGGCCACGTAGTCTCAGGGGAAGCTTGGCCAGGGAGACAGGTAGCTTCTCACCCACCCAGCTCGTCTCGGCTCCTGAAGCTTCTGACGTTGCTAATGACTAACAAGCATATGCTGCTCCGAGTCTGGGCTGACGGGGCGTGCTCGGCCTCCTGGGAAGGAGGAGGGTCACCCCTCTTACCGGGAGGCAGCTTGTCCAGGCGCCCAGAGCAGCGCAGGAGCCCTTCTGGCATGCGCTCTGCCACCTGCTGGCTTGGCTGTGCGTGCATACACGCACCTGTTCGGTAACTATTTCTTGCATGCCTCCCTGTGCTCGGCACTGTTCTAGACACTGGGAATGCAGAGGCAAACGTGCAAGCCCTGTCCTCCTGGTCAGCTGATGTTTGAGCAGGACCTGGGAGATCAGGAAGCAAGCCATGTGACAGCTGGGGCTCCATGCAGGGAGATGTACCAGGCAGATGCATGGTTAGCGCAGGCATGCATTTGGTGCCCCAGTGTGCCTGGCACAGGGGGAACTGTGTGTGAGTGCGGTGAGGGACAGGGGCAGCCAGGCAGCAAGGAGCCAGACTGCGGGCCTGAAGACTGCGCAGAGCTGGTCTGGCCTGAGGGGCGCTCTCCAGAGCTTACGCACTGGATTCTAACACTGGGAGAGCCACTGTAAGTGATGTATTATTTTAGTCTTAAAGGGAAAGCCGTGGAGGGAAACAGTATAGATGATAGTTAAGGGCTCAGGAGACAAAGTTGAGTTGGAATCAAGTGCCAGATCCTGGGCAATGGCCGGATCCTTCTGTGCCTCCGTTATCTGTACTTGTCAAAGGTGTTAAAGGCAGTGCCTCCCTTAGAGGATGGCTGTGAAGAGCAGAGTGCCTCGGGCAGGCCTGGCACCTGGTCATCACCCAGACGTGGTAGCTGCGCACACGCGGGTCATGACGACCTTGACAGAATCAGCACAGCCCTTTCCTGCGGCAGCACAGCCCCCTTTGGTCCACACAGAATTCCTAAGGAAAAGGAGAACGTGAGGGGGCATGGGCAGGATGGATGCGGCTCCATCCGGAGGCGTAGCCTAGTCAAGAGAGTCCCTTCCCCCCCACTCACACCCCTAGTACAAGCGGTAACCAGAGCGTGGGGACCTTGAGTGCTTGGCCAAGCGAGCCAAGAAAAGATGGCGGTCTGGAATGGGTGAAGGGGGTTCCCAGCCTGTGGTGTCCTCCCCAGCTGTCCTGGAGCGGGCTGGCCCCCAAGCCCAGGGCTTTGGTTAGTAGTGCTTGTAGAAGATGGAGAGGAGGGTGCCAGCACTGAACTTGGGACTGCACACACATCATCTCTCTTAAATGGCACGGAAACCTTGTGCTAGAGAGGAGGCGCCTGGGCCTCAGAGGGATTTCGTCATTTGCCCGGCACATCACAAGTAAGGAGCATAACCAAGTCAGCCGGCGCCTGTCGAATCCCAGAGCCTGGTGACTTCCATGAACCTAATCCGGGAGCTTCGAGGACCTGGAGCAGCCAGGAGTTCCGGTCATGGCGAGGAGGCGTGGGAGCACGGGCCCAGGCGGGTGTCCCTTCGGCACATGCCCACTCGATGGCAGCTGGGCGCAGTAGCCTTTGCGCGCTGGCTTTACCAAGGAGTCGTGTACCATCTCATGGAACCCACCTCGTGGCTCCTGTACTGCGGGCGGCAGGGGCGTCGTGCTGGTTTTGAGGAAACATGCTCAGGGCTATTAAAGGACTTTTACACACACTGATGTCAGAATCGGGGTCCAAACCAGGCCTGCCCGGGGGTTGTCTACTCCTCCCCGCACCTCTGCTCCAGCTGCCTTTTCCAGAGAGTTAAGGTGAGGAGGGGCTGGTCTAGATCAAGACCAGTGCATCTCAGCCCTGGCTCTGCTTCAGGATTACCAGGGAAAAAAGCCAACTATAATTTAAAAATAAGTAAAATATATATGTATGTTGAATACTGGGAGGAACAGTAATTACCTGGGAGCTCTTCAGAAAATCCTAACACCTGGACTCTTCCTCAGACCGATTCGACTAGAAGCTTGGGGTCCTGGGCTTTCAGATTCTCCTTACAGGTCCCCAGGTGATCTGAATGTGCAACCAGGGTGGAGAAGCATTGGGCTGAGTGGTTTGCGTCCTTCAAATTTCAATCCGTAGTCCCCCCCACTTCTGCGGCTCTTACCCAAGCAAACCACTAGCCTCATCTCTCTTCCCTGGTCCGCAGATGCTCAGAGTGTTGTCGGGTTGCAGGAGACGAGCAAGGACGTCCCCGGCTTTGTTTCCTCACTGCGCTTCCCCCGTCTGAAATTCCTGTTCATTTGTTATGTGAACATACATGTGGTTCATCATCCGCCTCCCTCCATACAGCGTCCACTCCTGAGAGCTCAGACCTCGTGGGTCTTTTTATCCTGTGTCCCCAGGGCTTGTCACACCATGGGTGTGAGTGCAGGCAGACCTCAGAGGCCTTGCGGGCTCAGCTCCGGACCACTGCAATAAAGCGAGTCATCTTTTTGCTGGTAGAGGGTCTTGCCTTCAATTTGTTTAAAAAACAAAACAAAATACAAACCAACATCTGTGAAGCTCAGTAGCGTGAAGCACAATAAAGCGAGGCCTGCCTGTATTTGTTGAGTGAATGCCCTTGGTGGGATAACAGGAGTACATAGCAATGCTGGCCTGTTTTTCAAAACCCCCGTAAACAATCTGTTAAAAGAATTTTGAAGTTGGCCGGGTGTTGTCCTCATCCCCCCGGCTGGCTGATGCTAACCATGTCTGCTTTGAGTGACTACTTTAAATCCCCCGGGGGTTGGTAGACTTAACTGATCTGACTTTGAGCAGAAAATGAAACAAGAATGTATGTTTCAGAACTGTGTCTTAATGGAATTTCCCCCTTTCCCTCTTTTCCCTTCTCCATTCAAAATGATTAAGAATGTTATACAAATGCCAAGGGAGAGAATGATATAGAAGAATATCCAGATGCTAAAGAAATACCCAGTAATGAAGAGCGTCTGTTAGATTTTAATAGGGTAAGTGGATGGTCCTGCTCCTTACTATTAACTTACAAATGGCCACCCCTGCCTTGTCACTCAGGCTGAAACCTGGGAGTCCTCTCCTGGGTCACCAAGCTCTGTGGCTGTGACCTTTCCCTCTGTGGCCCTTCACTTGGTCTATGTCGCCTCTCCCCCCGACTACCAAATCCCCTCCCCCGTGTCCCCCCCTGCCCTGCCCCCCCGCCATCTGCCCTTCGCACTGCTGCCGGAGGGAATGTCTAAATCCAGGCCTGCACCTGTCACTCCTTCAAGTCCTCTGAAAACCCCGCTCCTCTTTCACAGTACACCACAAGCGAGCCCTCGCGGCCCCCACGCCGCACGCACGCACGCTGTAGAACTCATGTCGGCCCCACGATAGCGTCTGACTGCATGTCTGCCTGCCAGCCCCACGGGCCTGTGAGCTCCCTGAGGGCGGGGCGGGGCCCGTTGCCCAGCTAGGCAGGCAGGCAGGGGAATGGGTGATGGAGGCTTGTGTTTCTTCTCAGGGTGACGCCAGTGTCCATTCAGGCGCGGTGGGAATGCCCCCTAAGGGCACCCCGTAGTCCTTATTGGTGCTCTAGGCACAGCCGCTCCCTGCAGCCTGGGCCTGTGGGTGTTTGGGACCCCCCTTTGCGCTCGCCCTCGCAGCAATGCCCGTCCCACCACCAGCCTCAGTCCAGACCTGCACGTCGGTCAGCATTCCTCTTGCTCTCAGGGTGGGTGCACAGTCTGTCTGCCGGCCCTGCCATCCCACCTCAGCCATTTCAGCGCCTCCCACCCCACCCCCATCGCTTGGTTCAGAGCACCGTCCAGCTCCTGGACAGCTGCCATGGCTTTCCTTGGTCTTCCTCTTCTGCTTGTCCCTCCTCGGTCCTCTCTCCACACAGTGAGGCACAGTGACCTCACAGTTCTGACCTCGTGTAGCCCTCAGCCCCATGAGGTAGGTTCTGTCATGCCATTTTGCAGAAGAGAACACCGAGGCACACGAAGCTTCAGAGCCGTGTGTCCCAGGTCATACAGCCTCCTACTAAGTGCAGGCCTGAGCCGAGGGAGAACTCAGTATGCGACTCAGGCCCCACGTCTTAACCATAGTGTCCTGCCATTGCTCTTAGAACAGAGCCCACACTCCCTGCGCGCCTGGGAGGCCCGCAGCTTCTGTCCCCCTTGCCCCGCTGATCTCACGTCGCTCTCCTCCCCCCTTGTTAGTGTGGCTGTCTTGCTATGCTCCTGCCTCGGGAGTTCTCAACAGGGACAGACTGTCATTGGAAAGGGGGGTGCTGGTTACTGTGGGGGAGGGGTGTTGGTGGTAACCATGACTGGGGGGGGGTCGTTGCTAGTAACTGGGAGGCTGTTGGTATTTACTCTGGGGGGGGTTGCATAGCCAATTACACTGATGGGGGGTGTTGGTAGTTACTGTGTTACTGTGGCTGGAGGACTTTGCTAGTGACTGAAGGAGGGGGCACTGCTGAAGCGGAGGAGGAAGCATCACCAGCTACCATGGGGAGAGGGTGGTGGTGCTAACTTACTGTGACAGGGTGGAGGGAGCGCTGCTAGCTGTCAGGACTGGGGAGGGGCTTCCACTTCATTTAGTGTCCTGGGGGCCACAGCTGACCATCGGATATGTGGGGGACAGTCCCACACAAGAGAATTTTCCCTACAAAGTACCAGGAACTGATAGAACTGCTTGAGATGCGCAATCCCAAGGTCCCAGGCTATCCGTGGCTGTGACTTGGGTTCGCTTTTCTCAGCCTTCAGGTGAGGATGCCTCTCCGCCAAAGAACTATGTTCCCTGCCCCTCCTGTCCGAAGCGCCCCATCGTGGTCACCGGTAACCCCCCCCCACACACAGTGAGGTTTTGGCGGTTGGTTAGGTGGTCTCTCCTGGCGTGTGAGCCCTGGAAGGGCGTGGCCATGCACGGAGCGCCTGCCTCTGGGTCAGTGAGAAGAGGCAGTTTTGCTTTGAAACAATAAAACTTCATATTTTTAAACTCTTCACAGGAAAACATTGGTGATTTGTTGTTTAATCTCTGTATATAAAGAGCCCCGTAGCCCTTTTGAAAAAACCTGGCTTTTGATCTGTTGAAAATTGTTCTTTAATTTTAGGTGTCTTCTGTTTATGAAGCGAGATGTACAGGAGAGAGGAATTCTGGAGCGAACGCAAACGGCTCCCGCAGAATGCTGGGCTCCAGCGCCAGCTCGGGCTCCGAAGACACCGGCTCCGAGGGCGGCAGCGAGTGGGCAGACCCCGGCGAGGAGGAGCTCTTTTCTCGAACTCATCTCTAACCCTGCAGTAGTACAAGTTCTTTTTAAAAACAAAATGTGATGGAAATGTACCCTTTTGTGAGGCCTGTTCATCTAAAACAACAAACTTAGGTTTCTTCTCAATTAACTGATTCAGATCAGTAAATATCTTTCTCTTCTTGCTTATTTTAGAGTTGAGGACAGCTATCCTGTTGAAGATTTTTTTCCCAAGCTGTTAAATTCTTGGCTATTTGAAATAGACTAGATTGTGTTGTCAAATCAAGAATGGGTGTGCATGTGCTTGTCTTAGAAGTATCACTGCTTTTTGCATCTTAACTGCAGTCATTTCCCTTCTAACTGCAGTCAGGTCATATTACCTGATTAGCATTGCAGTGTCAGCAACCACTTCCGCTATGCAGAGACTTGAGCTTTGGAACACGTAGGCTTTGTTCTCTAGGAACTGGGATACTTCCCCCTGCAGTGGATCAGCGCCTTCCTGAAGGCGAGAGGGAAGCCGGGTGGCTCATCCGAGGTCTTCATTCAGTAAAATCTCACGTGTGTCGGAAGTAGGACCCCCCAAGGGTGTGCGTTCAGAGACTTACAAAATACTGTGTTTTCTATCTTAGGAGTTTCCCCCTAAAGTATCATGGAAGATACTATGGTTTGTGACTTCACTGCTAACTGAAGAAGCCAAGGATTTGGGGTGTGGAGGAGAATAGGCTCGGTGCGGGGAGAGTGCACCCCCAGCCTGTTCTTATGTTGCTGTTATATTTGCACCAAAACTCCTTTCAGGGTTATTTGTGGCAACTCTTACAATACTTAGTGAGGATCTTAGTTGCAAATTAGGGTTCTTCTGGTGACCCACAATGAATTGAAGCCCCTCAAACTCGAAATTGTAAACATTTGACATGCAATAAAGTCCACCTCATCACCCCAAAGAAACCTTGGCTGCTGCAGCTAGCTGCTCTTGTGTTTGTGATTTAGCCTAGCTTAGATCTCATTTTGTGCTTGAGAGAATGTTCTGGGCAAGTTCTGTGTGTGGTGGGTTGGGGCGGGTAGTGATGATTTCTCCCACACCTGTGTGATTGCCTCATGGGACTCACTTCCCAGTTTATTGGGACCCCAGGGGCCAGCGCATCTTGTACAAGTCCTGTCCATCCATGACGATCACCTCCTCAAGCTTGCACGCCGCGTGCAGCAGCTTGAAGTTCGGAGGAGCAATATTTGCAAAGCCTACACGTTGTAAATTGTGTTTCTTTTTTAACCGACTCTCATTTTTGAAAAAACACCTAATGTGTGAAATCAGTTTAGCATGCCTGTGGCATCAGGAACAGCAGGGGCCTAACATGGACAAGACAGCTTCACCACTGATTTTGGGCAGGCAGGTAACACCTCGAGCTCACCAGCTGGGAGCTGACCTGGCTGAGAAATACGCGATTTGCTTTGAGCGTTGGGTTTTGTTGCCTTTTTCTTAGTTGATGACACAGAAAACTCCCCGAGGCTGTGGAGTTCTCCCGGGTTCTGTGCGTCTTCACTGTGAGAAACCTGATGGACCGTTGGGTTGGATCTCATCACACGTCAGGGTTTGTTTTTATACAGCACAGCTTTTGACACTTTAAAGTGGGTTTGTGTGCGTGTGTGTGTGTGTGTGTGTGTGTGTGTGTGTGTGTGTGGTGCGCGCGCACGTATGTAAGATTTTATGTTGCTGTTATTTATTTACAGACTTTATAAGGTTTTATGTATTTTTCTTTCTTCCGGAGCTTCCTAAAAAATTGATTAGCATCTGCACTGAAATATAATTTAACAGCAAAAGCAAAAAAGAATTGGAAGGTGTAAATTCCTAAAATCACTACAGTGACGATCATCCTAGAAATCGTTGCTATGTAGCAGAGACCAAATAAATATATCTCAGACACAACCTTTAGCTCAGCTGACTTGGGACAGCTGCTTTTCATCAAGCCAGGGCTCCAGGTGGTAGAAGCGCAGACTTCCTCTCACACTGGCGGGAAGATAAGTGCACCTCCCACGGGGGAATGGGGATGGATCACAGATGGGCGAGGGGTTAACAGATTATGTATTTATTTGTTTTCATAGCTAAGTGGCCGAGGCCCAGAGGCTTTTGGCGACAGAGTTGAAAGTGTGATTTTTAGTTTTGTGAATGGATGATCACAAAGAAAAAGCATTTTTTAAAAAGTTGGCAAAACGCTGAACCGCACTGTGGTATGAAGCGCATTGCGTATCCATAGCACTCAAGTGTCAGTTTCCACTCCTAGGCTGAGATTTTTTTTCCCGTGGTTGTATTGTTCTGATTTCACGTACACCAGAGTAACTGATTTTTTGTTTTCTTGTGGAGTTAACACCAAATAAAAAATTTAAAAACCAGTTGGTTGTCTTTATTTATCATAGCAAAGACCCCTGTCCCCCCAGCCTCCTCTTAATTATGTGCATCACTGGAAGATAGAAAGTGCCCCGGTCACAGCATCCCGAGTGAAGGTGATCCCTTCTGACAGGCCTAGCGGGAAACGCAGGCGTGCTGCTTGCTGGAGAAGAAGGGGTGGGGGTGGGGGGTGCTGAGAAAGGAGTCCATTCCTCCCTCCTCTTTCCCCCCTAACCCCCCCCCCCAAAGACATCCTGAATCCTGCAAAGAACTGCAGTTTTGTCCTGAAAAGGCTTTTGTCCTGAAAAAAAACCAAAACCTATGTATGTTAACCTGATAATATTCTCTGTAGAAAAGAAACCAGTGTATTTAAAAGGAAGAATAAAGGAAGAGTCATCTGTACTTCATCACCCGAGATGTAGCCTCTGACATTTGTGCAAAGCACTTCTAGAGAGCCAAACGAACGTATGAATTTTATATATATATATGTGTGTGTGTGTGTGTATATATATATACATATATATATATACACACACACACATATATATATATATATATATATATAGAGAGAGAGAGAGAGAGAGAAATTAAAGGGTTGTACTATACCTGCCCTTCTGTAACTTCAGACACACAGGTTTTCACTCAGATGTCTTTTCATGTCAGTAATTCTAGATCTACGTAATGTTATAGCTGTATGATGCCGTTATATAGGCTTACCAGGTCTTCCATTGATCAGCATTATTGCACATTCTGTAATCTGAATAGCATTTCTGGGGACCTCCGTAAACATCTAACACAGCCGCTCCCAAAGGGAGCTCCGCCTCTGGAATGCCTGTTGCCAGTGCTGACATTGCCAACCTCGCACAGAACCTTAGGGCCTGCTTCCGCGCTGGACCCCTGCTCTCACTGCCCCCAAGTGGATACCTTTGCTTACCTGAGGCGGGTACTTTTTTTCAGGCTACTGTTTGCTTTTCATCTGGGCAGAGGACATGGGTTCTATACAGGAGGATTTAAATTGTATTCTGTCCCTTTTTTTCTTTTAGCTGAGCCATCCTGCCACCTGTTGGCAGCTCAGCTCGGGCCGGGCCTCGAACCGCTGTTGCTCAGAGCTCGCACTCTTGAGCGAGCTCTTAACCAACTGAGCCACTCGGCCGGCCCTGTCCTTTTTTCTTTATGGTTACTGGAACGGGTAGGCATGTTTTTAAATGCTTTCTTCATCCTAAGAGTATAAAAATACTCTCCCATGTTTTCCCAGAACCCATATACTTTACGTAGAGGTAATCTGTGAAGCATATGTTGTATACAGGAAGTGAGGCTTAAGGATTCTGCCTCATTTCCCGCAGCCACCCAGCCCCGTTTTTGTAACGCCCTAAGTGGCCCTGATTTGAGGTGGTGTCTGTATTGGGTTCTCTCAGTGTGGAGCCCCAGGCCCGACTGCTGTCGACTCCATGACCTTGGGTAAGTAAATGCAAGCCAGGTGCTTAAAGCAGCGCCTCGTGCTTACGCCCTCTGAGTGCAAGCTTTTGACTGACCTGTCCATGGGCAGTGGTCCAGGATCTTAGTGTGGCGGCAGTGGGCAGTGTCCGGTGGGGTAGGATGTGGCACAGACGCTGCCTTGCCTGAGGCACCTGACGCAGGACTGGAGGGCGTTACTACAGCAGGGCAGCCCCTGTGTGGGTGCAATGGGTCATCCAACAGGAAGTACCTTCCCTGTCTGTTTAACCTCATGACGTGTGTGTGCCTGGCAGCCACGCTGACCAGGTGCACCCCGCTTTGCTGTGCTTCCTTAAACACTGTCAGCATAATTCCTTCCCAAGTACCCACACCTGCAAGAGCAGGGTGGGGTGCTCTGTCATGTTAGCCACACGGAGACGGGGCCCTGGCCTGTTACTGTTCCCAGGAGTTCTCATGTCACAGCTGAGTGTTTTTTTGAACAGCCAGAGGGTATAGAGGTGTCTCTAGATGAAATAACAAAATGCTCAGGCCACTGCTTCTGCCATTGCAGATGCCACCCCCGGCAGGCTCTGGGCACATGGAGTAAGAGGCTATGGCATTGCCCAGGTGGCCTGCGTCTGCGCGGCAGTCCAGGAACGGAAAGGCGGGCCCAGCCCCGCTTTTTCTTGAAAGCAGCCGGGCGGATGGCCTCACAGGCTGGGCACGTTGCGAGCACAGGCCAGGAAATGAGCCGCGGCTTGGGAGCCCGCCGCTGGCCTTGCGTCACGGAGGTGGGTGGTTAGTAGCGTTCTCAGGGACCGTTGCCTCACTTTACCGAGCTAGCAATGATGTGATGACACCACCTCCTGACACTGGATGTGCTGGTATTGTCTGTGCTAGCAATAGTCTCAGCTAGCGCTGGGCCTCACCATGTGCCAAGCATTCTAGGCATTTTGTGGTGCTGACTAACCCTATGAGGTAGGTAAATAGCGCTGTTCTTATGGATGGGAAAACTGAGGCACAGCGAGAAGCTACGCGCTTGCCGATGTCTCACACCTTAGTGAAAGGTGGAGCCAGGGTTGTACTGGGCACCGTGACTACAGAGCCCCTTGAGCACTCCCCAAACCTCCATCTTTTCAAAACCCCACTAAGTACAAACAGTGTGTATAGAGGGTGTTGGCAACTGCTTCTGCAAAGCAATCTCTTGCTAGTCGTGAGTTATGTATTGTACGGATGTCATTTATAGGAGTCCAGGCTGAGTCAGAATGCCTGGGTGAGGAGCCTGGCTCTGCCCCCCTCTGGCCATGGGCCTTGGGTGAGTGGGTCGTCTCCAAGCCTTGGCATCCTGGGGTGTAGATGGAGATTGCAGCAGGACCTCTCAGGGTTGGCTGTAAAGAGGAGGAAGTCCAGTCATTCAGACACTATAGAGTGCAGAGTCAGTGAGACGAGGCGCTGCCCTCCCTGTGGTCACTGGATGGGAACAGAGCGAAGTGGGAAATGAGACGGAGAAATTGCCACACCCAGTCCGGTAACAAGCAAATCTCATCGCTTCCGGCCCTCGGCCCTTCCCCCAGCAAAGGCCCTGGTCTCAGGGTCAGGCTGTGCAGAGGCCTGCACTGCTGGGTGCTGCCCATGGGCACGTGGCCATCACGTGGCCGGCTGAGTCCTACCCTCTCACCTGAAAGTAAGGTCACACTGTTCCTCCCAGTGCTGGCCAGGCCAGAGGGCAGATGCCAGGGCAGTGGCAGAACCGTGTGTGCCCCTCAGAGCTGAGCCGAGGTGGTGTGAGGGCCGTGGCCCGGTGGTGAAGGGGCAGGCTGGGGCCTGGCCACCGCTTGTCCTGCCTGCTGCAGCTCAGTCAGACGCTGGGCCTGCCACTTCATGTCACAGGCCAGGGGATCTTTGGGGCCCCAGGGCTGGGGAGGCGTGTGTGGGGAGACAGAAGAGGCCCCACCCTCTGGCCTGCTACCCCAGTAGGCCCAGCTGACAGTCAGATGGGATGATGGCCCCCGGCTTCCAGATGGGGGCACACTGAATGTTGGCCCCTGGTGCCCCTGGATGCGTGTTGGAAGCTACGTGGCAGGCCTGCCTAGAACGTAGGCGCCCCTCCAACCTCCTTGCCCACCCAAGGGGGTATGAAGTAAAGAGCCCTTCCCCCACCAGCTGTGTGACTGACGGTGTGAGGACACCACCGCTCCCTCCACAGCTAGGCCAGGCCAGCTGGTGATGGCAGGTAAAGCCTCCACCTCCTTACCTGGCACGGAGGATGAGGGCCTGAGTGCACCTTGCCCTCCCTGCTTCCTCCGCACACTTCCCTCTGTCCCCATGCACCCCTGAGTCCTCAGGCGGGTTCAGGAGGCTTCGTCAGGCTCCCCACACCAGGAGCTCCTGCTCTGACCACGTGCCCACCACCCCAGTCCTTCCTGGCCATCGGGGGTGACTGTTGCCAGCTTGCTCGGCAAGTCCAAGGGGCTGGTGAGGGAGCGCCCGCCAGCAATGCTGCTGGCTCACCACTCCCAAGGCCAGGACCCACCTTCACACCACAGTGACGGCCACTTCCCACCTCCCTTCTCCACCTTCAGACGCTCGGGCAGAGGGAAGTACCAGAAGTGACTGCAGAACTGGGCTCAGGTCCTGCGGTGAGCCTGGCCTGGGTGTGGGCTTTGCGCTGGGAGCCCCGGGCAGCAGCACAGA